ACTTTGTTAGAATAATCAATACCGCTTTCTAATTATGTGTTTATGTGACTGACAGTCATCTACTCACACAGAACAGAGAAGAATGGAATTCTCATTTTACAAAACATACCTGCTTTTGTGAAAAGCAAGTAAACTGAAAACAAATATTTTGGCAGTCAATTCATAGTTAGTCTTGCTTCAGCTATGAATAAACACTGTAACCATTTACTATCTAAATTGAAGTGAGTTTAATGGTCGTTTTCTTTTTAAATCAGTTTGTTTTCACGTCCACACTTTCTGAACCGATGGAACGTTCATTAGTAACCACAATTCTATTCTATTAAGACAGTCTATAACATGCTAACTCGGACTTTAAATTAGGACTGTGTGGCAGGCATTGGATGGAAAAAAGAAAGGAAAAAATCATACAGTAAAGGATATAGTTATTAGTTTTATCACCACTTTACTATCTATATGCACTATCTGTTCTGATAAAACAGCCTTCCTCATTCCAAACCTGACTTCCATTCCTTCATTTGAACTTACTCCACCTTGATCAGTATCACAACTCATTGTTCTTTATTACTACATTCTCTCATCTGCAGCCACTGATCACATTTCACTGTGACAACAAGAGCTAGTATGAATTTGATCCTATAATTTATCATTCCTGTTCCACTACAAAATGTTAAGGATTGTTTATCGTTCATATCCAAGTGTTTTGGTGCTCCTCGGTTTCTTATTCTCAGAATCTTTCTCTAAGGGCATCAACTATGGAACTAATGACATTTGGAACAAACTTGATGTACGCGTTTTTCTAAGGCAATAGTTCACACCAAGCGCTCTACAAGTCTAACTTATAACAAATACGAACCTAAGAAGTTGCGTTGCATAAATGATTAGCACGACCGAATTCCTAACATAAGTATGCCGAAATCGGATCTGGTGTATAACGTTGACGCCATACCACTTTGGACAATATTTTGTAGACTACTCAGTATATCTAAAGGAATGAACTGATCTTCACTTTTATAGATTATATTTAACAACCCTGGTTGGGATGCATACAGTGAAACAATGAATGTTGTAATTTGTAATTCATGCCTGTAGAAATGGCGTGTACCTGCCATAGCAGAAACATATATTACTATTATTATCATTATTAATTAAATAATTAATTAGGAGCACTAGAAGAATGTATCTACAATTAACCTACTATGTTTACACAATTCAGTGTCTGTGCCATGATGAGATCAGAGCTGGAACATCTCTAAGATCTTTATTCAGCTTCGCTGAAATTTTACTTCACCATTACCAAAATAACAAAGCGATTGAATTACCTATAGCAAATCGTATTACTGTTCAGCTTTTCACATTTAAACAGGCAATCAATAACTTTTTGTGCATGTATAATCTCGCTGTTTTTTGTTTCATTCAAGTTCTCATTTCAAATTCACGATTGTTCTAATGCTGAGATTTATTGCTCCAACGTTTAGTCAAAATAACCGTTACGCATCTCATCTGTTCAAATGTCTATTTAGTTATGACTTCTGAAAATCTATATAACACTTGAACCAGTATTCTTGTCATTACTGTTGTCACCATTATTATGATTACTTAACAGTCATGTCTGCAATTACATTTAATTGTATCTTTTAGTCAACCCTATGATTAACAAATTGAACTTGTTCACTGTGAATGACTGCGTACTGCATGTTCTGTCTTAATATAAAGCAAACTTACATGGTTTTGTGGAAGAATTACAATTGATAAATCACTGAGTGTCAGCCAATTTTTTATTTGTCTTATCTTTTAGTATTGATCAAATTTCAACGATTAATGAATTGTAACGAAATTTAATGAATTGTAAACATCACAAAAGTACCAGAAGCCAGTTATGGGTCTAAATAGCTGGATGACTACCTGTCAGACTGTTTATTTGAATAGCACGAGTTTGAATCTGTTTGGGAGCGTTAGACCTCTATAACATGTAGATACGCTTTGTTCATTAGTGTAGACTAACACGAATTACGTTCAGCATCATTCGATTTGAAACAGTTGTTTCGACAAATATCTTTTTGTTATATTCTGTTCAAAAAGTAATGCTGATGAATGTGAGTGATTATTAGACGCAAGTGTAGATCTAAGCATTACATGTGAAGAAAAGAAATAGTTTTTATTAGAAAATTGAGTTGATTTAACCTTGTAATTTGTATCATTGAATGTTTTTGATTTTATTAGTCTACAAAATGTACATAACGTTTAGGTTTCTTTATAAGTCTACTAGAACGTGTTAAACAAGAAGGTGTAGTGCTAAGTTTTTCATCCACCTCTTGTTTCGCAGTATATGATGGGAGGGATTTTTTATTCGCAGTGTTGTCTTCTTTGTCTTGAGAAGCTTTGTGGAAAGCTGGTTTTATTCTGTCTATAGAAATGGTCTCCTTGTTCCCGTTTCCGTTGATAATCAAGTATTTGTGAGTGCGTTTATTTACTTTAAAAGGACCTTCATATGGTGGCTTCAGTGGATTTTTCACAGCGTCTACTCGGACGAAAACAAATTTGCACGTTTCAAGATGTTTATCAAGTTGAACTCGATTGTTATGTTCTCGCGGGGATATTGCTTTGATGTTCTGCATCGTTTGCACTAAGGCTTACAAAATGGGAAGGATCCCCTGACGTTGTAGATTCACGATTGATCAGTTTTCCTGGTGACGTTAAGGTTGTGCCGTAAACTAGTTCGGCGGCAGTGCATCCGATGAACGAATCCCATGAAGTACGAGCGGTAAAGCATCGCTCCACTTTGAAGTGTCAGCTTGTGCCATCAGTGAGCTTTTCAATTGACGATGGAATCTTTCAATCATGCCATTAGCTGCTGGGTGATAAGCTGTTGTTTTGATGTGGTTTGCCTCGACTTCCTCTTTTCAATGAACGCGTTAGAGCACCTCAAAATACGGATGCATCTTTTGTTCTGAGTAATGACTCCATATCCATCACAAGGCTGACCATTGGTCATCATGTGAATACTTATAAAAACCTAAATAAAATCGAATCCATAATCATGTATGTGACCAGTGACTACAGAAAATCTAGAAATTAGTAGGACCACGACTTTCTCTTTTATTAACTGAACACACTTCAATAAATTAGCTTGACATTTAAAAAGTTGACTTGTTTTTCGCTCATATCTTATGAAACCAGTCTGACGTTTGTCTAAGCTCAATATTTGCAAAGTGTTTATTCAAAGTTCAGATATTTCGAATTCGCAAGCTTTTGTAAAGAAATCGACTCGAAATCATATGTTTATTTTTAGTCGGTGACTGCGAATCCTCAAATGGGGTATCACTGAGTGAGGTGCCCTCACTCACTACAGAGCAATGATGACGTTTTATTCTAATGAATGCTGAATATTCTAATTTATTTACGAGTTGACGTTTATCCGTATTGCCGTATGTTTAAAACTCAATGCACGACAGTGTTTCCAAACCTCAAAGAATCAAGGACAGAAATGGGTGCCGTTGACATATAAAAATCGATTCGTCAAATTACTTGATCAATTGACAGTGATTTCAAAAACGATGACAATACGAATGATGAAAGACAACAGCAAGTGTAATGGAAGTCTTAGTTTCGAAAATCTTATTGACGTAACGAGCAAGCCAGCGTAAATATTTATGACACGAGTGGTGCAACGATTGTGGAAAAACTCAATGAAAGCGTTAGAAGAATGGCGTTTCGAGAGTCAACAATACTACTTGATCATCGTTACGGAGGACAGTTCATCATGATATGAAAAAGACCAAAACAAAACAAACGACTATGACATCATCTGTAGATCATTAACAAAAACAGACATGAAAAGAGAGCTGAAGATTATTATCAGTGGAACTCCATTACGTGTTGGTTTTCATAAAGACACAGCATTGTTGAATATATTCACCACAACATTCCAACGCACTTCAAATTGAACCGAGGCTAGATGTGGAAGATGTCATTGAAACATTTTATTGAAATGTTTGTAGCCAGATGATGTTATCAAGTCAACTCAGACATTCATCAGATCATAACTGTCTTAGAAGAAACATTCACCACAATTTCAGATCGATTCAATATGTGATATGTATATTTGTCCGGAGCTCATAATCCTTCCGTAGTTCTATGCATTGTTGCATGGCAAACATTTTAGTGTAAGTAATAATTACATTATCCACAAACTCCTACACTTTCTTATCGTATGGCTCGAGCTCATGACATACATTCTCGCGCGCCATTGATTATCCTCAAATCATTGAGCCGGTATCTTATAGTGATAATGTCTAACTTCAAACAATCTACGAAATTTTGTGACTATCCTCCATTGTCTTTGATGAGTAACTGGCCCATACCTGACAAACATCAACTACAATGATCACGGCATCCCAATCGAACTCAGAAAATTATCTTCTACTTTGATTGGCTCTTCTGAAATAAAACTCGACAAACTACGCAATCCTATACTAACTGTTATGATTACATCTGCCGATACTATCATTAGATTTATCATCATTGTTGCTAGTTCTACAAATTCTACCATTCGTGCCATAAATAAACCGCTCACCAGTAACGATCATAATACAAAGATACAATTATTCATAATAATACCACTGACAATACTGCCGCTTCCATTATTAATACTATTATTATTACTATTATTATTATTACCACAGTGAACGAAGACATGGTGAGGCCAACCAATTTAATTTTAAATGCGAAATCACAGTGTCGTCGTAAAATATGGAAACCGTACATTAAATACTTCATTCGTACATCTTCCGTCAGTTGTCCCTCATAAACTTCATCGTTCCTTAGTTCCTTTTCGTTACAATTACTCCTTATTACATATACGTCCTCTTCAACTCGATTTTCACATTATTCTGTTGCCAGACATTTTATTTTTGATTTGTATTAAATACTACTCATGTCAGCCAGCATTGGTGGTATAAATCACAACAATACTACAACTTCCGAGTAATCGGATGTACAATGTGGAATACAGCAATGTTGTAAACAATCTATGAATCTTAACAATTACTTACTGTAACAAGGTAAATATTTTCTTCCAATTCATGACTATCATTATCATCGCTGTTAATGCACATATTAGCTTCTTCATACCAGATACATTTCACACTTGATGTTGTCACATTTTGGCATTTTTCAATGGAGTCGTGTTTTGAACAACTTACTGTGAAAAAAATTAAGGAGACGGCATTTCAAGTTATCAAACAAAAGATACGTGAATAACAAAATGTGTAACTGATATCAGTTTTATCATCAATCTATATCTTGTATACCGTTTCTGCATGTGTAAAGTGCACAATCAATTCCTGAGCTCACTGGCACTGACTATTTCGAAATCAGTGAACGTAGGTCAGCTGTTCTCAGGCCGAAAACTGATTGTCAATGTAGATGATTCAATGTAAAAACAAAGATAGAGGTACTATGTTCTTCAAATCATGATTGTGGCTTCCACAAAAACATTTTCATCAACCTATTATGCGATAGAAGGTTTCAAACAACTCAGCTTAGCAGACAGTGTTTGGCAACTAGAAAATCTGGTTGAACTGATTTGGAAGATAGTATTGAACCATAGGAACGTAATATTTTCGATAAACGTTCTTTGTTTGGCCTAAACATACACATGCTTCTTACGTGCTCCTAAATCTGTTTGGATCGTTCAGACTGTAACTTGACGATTCAGTCAGAATGATGTGGTTGAATATTACATATAATCATCATGTCTACCTGAATTCTACTAGTCTAATATACGATTTCGCATAAGAAATATTTTTTGAAAGATAGTAACAATAGTGTAGATTATCTGAGAGTTTTTTTGCAAATATCTGTCTGTTAAGCTCAGTTGTTTGTAGAAATTTCAATGATTATACTTTCTTTTCATCTATCACTTCATTATATTTAATTATTTAAATAATATGGTATTCTCTATTGTGTAGTGGGCGTGATATGAAACTTTGTTAGAATAATCAATACCGCTTTCTAATTATGTGTTTATGTGACTGACAGTCATCTACTCACACAGAACAGAGAAGAATGGAATTCTCATTTTACAAAACATACCTGCTTTTGTGAAAAGCAAGTAAATTGAAAACAAATATTTTAGCAGTCAATTCATAGTTAGTCTTGCTTCAGCTATAAATAAACACTGTTACCATTTACTATCTAAATTGAAGTGAGTTTAATGGTCGTTTTCTCCTAGAATCATCAATATATTGCAACCATATTCGCAGTATGGTGTTGTTAAGCTATCGATTGAAATCATGAGTCGATGAATATTAGCCTATCATTGGAAACGTAGAGCACTGGACCATTATCTAACATACATCGATTCTGATATCTTTGAAAAACTTATCAATCCCCACAACCCTACCTTGATGATTATCATGTGCTCACTGTTAACTAGCTCCTTCTGGGGATTTTCGGAGTTCTTGTGAGCAACTGTGACCAGTCGAGCTATTCCTTTCAGGCAGAGACAGGTATCAATCTCAGACATTGGTGGGTGGTTGCACATCCTCGTGGATTTGTTGAAATTAGTCACCGACACTATTGAATGCCAAATAGGTGGTCTAGAGGTTAAGCATTGGCGCGCCAGACCAAAGATCCTGTGTTTGAATCCCGCGTGCGGGATTGTGGATGCTCACTGCCGAAACGTTTCTCACTAAGACGAAACAGTTGTTCAGTGCCTCCAGGTTTTCAATAATAGTCTAATATTCATCAAATAATATTCTCAATTGAAATAAAGTTCAAATGTTAGTGCCTTTTTTGACATCCAATGGAATCAGTTTGTGCCATCTTGATCTTAACCAATCAAGTCAATTTAAGGCGTCTTTGACAGTCCATTAACAGATTATTACACGTAACAAAGTGTTTGTTCGTGAACACATGAGCATACATTTTGAACTACAAATAAACCAATCACTTATTTTAAAGTATTGCCAATCATATCCAAAAGCATTTTCATCAACGGAGGTCAGAAATTTCAACCAATGGTGGATAAATATCTGCCTATGTCCGCGATAGCTACAAAGATATTGGATAATAATGGGTTCATCTAGCGAAATGATTGGTTAACAATGAAAAAATGATTTTATAAAATTAGATCTTTGCAATGGTTACTTTGAATCATAGAATTAGAAAGAAACAAACATACATTTAAAAAATCTATATAAACCTGACAAGTTCTAGTTAAATTGTTTCACTATTTTGAACGAGAAAATGAGGTGAGTGTTGACTGAACACACGAAGTTATTGTGTGTACTATATGGATTTCGATCTGATTCAACGAGATAACATTGTTTTCTTCATATCAACCATTTTAGATATACTTCTTTATCTGGTCTATTGATACCGGTTTATTTGGTCGTCATCGTGATTTCCAAATTCTTCGACTGTCAAGTTATCTGCAAAAACCCCGGATTAGCGACACATGAAAATGTGATTTCGGAAAATGGTTCATATAAATATGTAAGTATACAGTCGGATTCTAATGCACATACACAGCCTCATCATTATTATTACTCACGAACAATACGTCACAATCAGACGTATCCAGTTTTTAGTGACAGTTTTAAAAAATTTAGTACCACTCAGGTGAGTTGACTACATTTTGTAATGGAATTACTAATTCTTATGTTTGCATTTTTTAAGAATGTTATACCGAAATTTTCGTTTAAATATTACGGTAATAACGTAACTAGATTTAAGATAATAGAAAAACTCGCTGTTATCTACCATCTCATATTCAAGAAAAGTTTCTCCGAAAACAGTATTATATATATTTACGATGTTTTTTCCTCGGAATATTTTTATATAGCCTATATTTAATGAGAACATACAATTTAATTGAAATTCTGTAGTGGATGAATGAAATATTTTGAAATGAACTGGAGACAAAAATGAATTTCATGAACTGTAATTAGTTTGCTGTAAGACATCGAACGATTGATAAGTTCAACAAGAAGAAATGGAATCTATCAAGTTTTGAATGTCAGAAAAAGCATAAAACTGATTCACTGAAGACTATATAGCAAACTTGATTCATGGAATGAATTGTGATTAACAAAACTTAATAACAATTTTAAGTGAAAGAAAAAATTAACTTACCATTACGAGAAATCACAAATCTAGTTACGTTATTACCGTAATATTTAAACGAAAATTTCGGTATAACATTCTTAAAAAATGCAAACATAAGAATTAGTAATTCCATTACAAAATGTAGTCAACTCACCTGAGTGGTACTAAATTTTTTAGAACTGTCACTAAAAACTGGATACGTCTGATTGTGACGTATTGTTCGTGAGTAATAATAATGATGAGGCTGTGTATGTGCATTAGAATCCGACTGTATACTTACATATTTATATGAACCATTTTCCGAAATCACATTTTCATGTGTCGCTAATCCGGGGTTTTTGCAGATAACTTGACAGTCGAAGAATTTGGAAATCACGATGACGACCAAATAAACCGGTATCAATAGACCAGATAAAGAAGTATATCTAAAATGGTTGATATGAAGAAAACAATGTTATCTCGTTGAATCAGATCGAAATCCATATAGTACACACAATAACTTCGTGTGTTCAGTCAACACTCACCTCATTTTCTCGTTCAAAATAGTGAAACAATTTAACTAGAACTTGTCAGGTTTATATAGATTTTTTAAATGTATGTTTGTTTCTTTCTAATTCTATGATTCAAAGTAACCATTGCAAAGATCTAATTTTATAAAATCATTTTTTCATTGTTAACCAACCATTTCGCTAGATGAACCTGTAGAATTATGGTCTACTATGATATAAGTACTGCTCTAACAATAGACCTAATCCTAAAATTGTAGATTTGTCATGATATAACTGCCTAATCTATAAGATCTTACGTGGAAGTCACATCATCGACTACACCAACTCACCGTATCGTAACAACTACCAATACATGATGAAGAACAAGCTTAGGCTAGAGAAAGAACAATATATTTAATATGAATAGGAGATATAAGATAACATCCAGCAGGGACCACGCCTGCATGGCCGAGTCATGCCACTCGATCAACTCCAGTCCATTCAATTCATTGTTCGCGCCTTCTTCATTGTTAGGTATTTATCCGCGTTAAATCTTGAATATCTATTTTCTGAGTAGTCTCGTGTTCAGCTTTGTGGATTGTGCGGTTATTGTTCAATGCCACTACACTACTCTCCCACCAGAATCAACGTGATGTTGGTTCGATACCGAATTGGATGGGATCGTCGTGCGTTGAAGGTTACCAAGACTAGGAAGAATCCTCCGGGTATTGGTAAGCTGAAAGATAAATCAAAAAGAAAGCGGCAGCATCTGGTCGGGAAATACATGTAATAATTTTAAAATATCTGCCTTCATGCTTAAAACGCTTGAAATGAAAATTTGGGTGAAGATTATTTGAGCTATAAAAAATGGGGTTACAATAATAATAATAATAAAATGATGCGTGTTAATAGCCGTTGGTTAATAACTTAACGTATAGGTAGTAAGTATTTTGTGTTTAGAAATATTAAAGTGATGAATATTGTAGAAATGTTAATATTGGTATTAGTTTTGGTTTAAATTATGAAATCAAATAACGATTATGCCGGTAAGTTGTCCATATGAGTTGAATTCCAATTGCATCTGTATTAGTAGGCTAACTGAAGGAACAAAAGTATACCGTGGAGAAGATTTCCAACTAGTGTTCCAGTTAGTTTGATACGGTTTATTTAGTTACGGGGAGATTTTCTCAACCTCATTTTTACTTGACCGTGATAGAATTTAGTAATACTACTAATACACATGAATGGTTATCAAAATAAAATTTAAATACATGAGTGATAATTATATGAATTTTGGACAGATAGCTAGGGACAAATCGTTAAACATGAGTGTATTCGTAAGAGACATGCTCTGGACTCAATGTTCTGAGTTGCCATAGACTATTTATACATATTTATACCTGACGGCTGATGATGCATACGAGTTAGTTGCAAGTATGCAGTTTATCATAAGGCGGAATACGATTTAATTGAGATATAGTGGTTATAAGTTATTTAAATCAGTTAGGCCTATGTGTCATATTACTAGGTGATGTGGTGCTGCAGGATGTATTCGGCTAAATAAGCTTTTACAAGATGATTAACAGTGAGAGATGCTCATGTGATTATCAGGAAGAACACAAGTTGTAACCAAGGGGAGTACACTCCCAACTCATGTCTATGATAATGGCTTGAACCTTAGTCAGTGTTGGGGTAAATTCGACATTGATGTTTTCAGTTTGCAGGAGATTTGCTCGACTGCTTATATTGATTATTTGCATGCATTATTGTGTCGCTAAACCATCAATTAGACTGACAAGGTTTTGAGATATTTACTGAATGAGCAACTGATAGAGAAACATACTGTAATCATCTGTAGTGAATGAAGATAAAAGAAAAACAACACTAGTGATAATTATAAGTCGATTTGAAGACCGGTTATGTTAATAGTTTCATTAATATTATCAATCATATTACGTGATCGTCAAGTCATGACAATGCTTTATGACGATATCCTGAAACTATTAAATTTAACTAGTTATAGTGTTGATTGAGGATTAGCCAGTGGAAAAAGAGGTATTTTTGCTTTAGGTGATTCAAAATTATCAGAAATTTGTAGTGTTACAGAATCCGAGACGCCTAATTATATTATAATTTTCAATTCAGAAATATTCGTTTGGTGTTAATTCTAGTAGGCTATGGAGTTTTGATTTTAAACGTTTGTTTAGCCAACAGCTACCTGGGGATTTAGTTATTTTACTAGTGCAGTTGATAGTACCTAAATTTTTAATCTTATTATCTAAACTATGTTCGCATTTTAGGCTGCTAATATGATAAACCAATCCATAAACCCAAATACGATTAGCAACAACGACTATGATGGGTTTATTAATAAATGTTAAGGGCGATCCAGATGATTTCTAAATTTAGGAGACATGGAGATATAGTGAAACGCGTGTATGGGTCAGGTTAACAAGCAGGTTGTTGACGTATGTGACAATTTAAAAATAATGAACATGACCAGATAAATAATTTTAAAGTTTAGACTGCTTGTAAAGCTTCAGTCAGGAATATGACGCGTTATAAACATTCCATTAGAAGTTACTGCGTTTAGCCTAGGGACACTTACAAATATATGGCAAAAGCAACTGGAAAACATACATGTTAAGTACAAATAATCATTAAGTAAAATAGTTGAACTCGCCTGGGTTATTTTTGAAAATTAGATTATTCAATGGACGACATATATAACGCCATTCGTGAGCAGTATTGATCCAAAAGCATCCAGAATAAAACATGCAGTATGGCAATTAATTCCAGGGTGCTTGATGCTGTTGAGGTTTTTGACACTCGCTCGGATCAGAACAATCGAATGAATCCAGATAACTGTATGGTTGTCATTGAACGAACCATCTAAAAATGATTGCAGAAAACTTATAGCTGGAACTCACCGTATTTTTTTTGGAGCAGTCATCCTTGTTGTTTGGCAATGGAACTCGAGAATATGAAATTAGGCAGGTAGTGGTCGGAAGAAAAGATATTACAGGATAGTGCATCGTTTAAAACAGGGTGAGGTGTTAAGTGAAGGAACACTGAGAATTAGATCCAGATAACTATTTAGTCCTTGATCGCATTGTTAGTCAATGTATATTTACGCTATTTACAGGTCATATTTGCTAGAGCTTGATGTTTAAACAAGACTATGTCGCTGAAGCATGTAAATGCTATTACAGCTTGTTAACAAACCATCAAAGCTAATTAGTTAATGTAGACGACCAGTTTTTATTACCGATTGAGCTAGTTTGTCATGAGGACTAATCAATATAACATTACGATAATGCGTGTGAGCATTAATCAGAGGACTATTAGAATACAGGGTTAACATAAATATAAAATCGATCGAGAAAGTTGAAGTGGAAATAAGGATTAATAATAATAGGTTGCGTTTCTTTAGTTGGGCTCACCAATGTAGAATTATGGTCTACTATGATATAAGTACTGCTCTAACAATAGACCTAATCCTAAAATTGTAGATTTGTCATGATATAACTGCCTAATCTATAAGATCTTACGTGGAAGTCACATCATCGACTACACCAACTCACCGTATCGTAACAACTACCAATACATGATGAAGAACAAGCTTAGGCTAGAGAAAGAACAATATATTTAATATGAATAGGAGATATAAGATAACATCCAGCAGGGACCACGCCTGCATGGCCGAGTCATGCCACTCGATCAACTCCAGTCCATTCAATTCATTGTTCGCGCCTTCTTCATTGTTAGGTATTTATCCGCGTTAAATCTTGAATATCTATTTTCTGAGTAGTCTCGTGTTCAGCTTTGTGGATTGTGCGGTCATTGTTCAATGCCACTACAAACCCATTATTATCCAATATCTTTGTAGCTATCGAGGACATAGGCAGATATTTATCCACCATTGGTTGAAATTCCTGACCTCCGTTGATGAAAATGCTTTTAAATATGATTGGCAATACTTTAAAATAAGTGATTGGTTTATTTGTAGCTCAAAATGTATGCTCATGTGTTCACGAATGAACACTTTGTTACGTGTAATAATCTGTTAATGGACTGTCAATGGCGCATTAATTTGACTTGATTGGTTAAGATCAAAGTGGCACAAACTGTTTCAATTGGATGTCAAAAAAGGCACTAACATTTGAACTTTATTTCAATTGAGAATATTATTTGATGAATATTAGACTATTATTGAAAACCTGGAGGCACTGAAAAACTGTTTCGTCTTAGTGAGAAACTTTTCGGCAGTGCTCATCCACAATCTCGCTAGCGGAGTTCAAACACAGCATCTTTGGTCTGGCGCGCCAATGCTTAACCTCCAGACCACCTATTTGTCATTCAGTAATGTCGGTGTCTAATTTCAACAAATCCACGAGGATGTGCAACCACCCACCAATATCTGAGATAGATACCTGTCTCAACCTAAAAGGAATAACTCGACTGGTCACAGTTGCTCACAAGAACTCCGAGAATCCCCAGAAGGAGCTAGTTAACAGTAAGCACATGATAATCGTCAAGGTAGGGTTGTGGTGATTGATAAGTATTTCAAAGATATCAGAAACGATGTAGGTTACATAATGGTCCAGTGCTTTACGTTTCCAATGATAGGCTAATATTCATCGACCCATGATTTCAGTCGATAGCTTAACAACACCATACTGCGAATATGGTTGCATATGGTGATGATTCTAAGAGAAAACGACCATAAAATCACTTCGATTTAGATAGTAAATGGTTACAGTGTTTATTCATAGCTGAAGCAAGACTAACTATGAATTGACTGCCAAAATATTTGTTTTCAGTTTACTTGCTTTTCACAAAAGCAGGAACGTTTTGTAAAATGAGACTTCCATTCATCTCTGTTCTGTGTGAGTAGATCACTGTCAGTCACATAAACACATAATTAGAAAGCGATATTCATTATTCTGACAAAATTTCATATCACGCCTACTACACAATAGAGAATACCATATTATTTGAATAATTAAATATAATGAGGTGATAGATGAAGAGAAAGTATAATCATTGAGGTCAACAGACAGATATTTGCAAAAACACTCTCAGATAATCTACACTATTGT